GGAGTTTTCTAACTTGACGGCCGTCTATTGGCCTGACTGTTCTGAAGACTTTGCAACCCCCCAATTGGCGCAGCTTCTTTCCCTCCCAGTGGTCAAAGACGACGGCTTGCCGAGGGTTGCCATGTGTTTGTGGGGCCCCTGTAGCTGCCAACCAGCTGTTCCTCATTCCATTCGTTACCCGTTTCTAGCTCTGATAGGTAGGTGGCTTAGTCGGGACTTCACCCCATTTACCTTGAGCCCCCCACCTCCCCCTCCTGTTTTACCCTCCGTCACCTTATCCCTGTCAACCATTGTGCGCATTATCACACCATGTCTCCACCCTCAAGAGGAAGACCACAGGATTGTTTCCTTTAGAATTCTGGCTATTTTTCCTTGCGAATTGGTCCCACCATGTGGATCGATCATTTGTGAACTTGTTTTTTGTTTTGTTTAGTTTGGACGATTGCCATATTAGTCCCTTAAACACAGTGTAATTTGGAAACTGGAGTAAGGAGCAAAACCTTTGTTACGTAAATCAGAGAAGAAGAGGAGTGAGAGAAAAGGCATATGTTCTTATTGCCCTTGCTATATTGGAGTCATAGTTTACAAAAAATTAAGGAAGAAAAGAAACCTCTGTATTATAAAGATTGGAAATTTGTAAAATAGAAAAAAACCACTTAGGGGGCTTTTTTTTGGTTCATAATGTTGCTGCCACCCAGTGGGCTGGTTAGGAGGAACCTCAGCACATAGGCTGCCAGTCTGGGGGCAGCAGCCCGAGGGAGGGGAAGCGATGAATCAGAGTCTAGCGTCACCACCAGAAATCTACCATTGATAAATGAACGTTATTCTACAGGTCAACCAACTGGGAACTTTACTAAAAGCCCTTCCCGTACCCTGAGCTTTTTTTTTCTACTTTTTTTTCAAAAACTCCTCCCATCTCTCGGTGACCTCTCTGGGTAAGGTTACCACGTGGGATGGGGAGGGGCAGCAGTGGGGCGTTTCCGGTCGCGAGTAAGAAAGTCGCAAGAAGGCCCCCTTCCTCAAAAGGTGGTTTTCCCGTACTCGTTGTTGAAAGGTCCTGTCCTGAAGAAGCTGGACGAAGGAGGTGGGCGGAAAGTCTGGAGGCTGGCCGGTCACTCTGGCTGCGCCCCCCAAGGGAAACCCATTGGGGATTGCCGTGGAGGGGTGCTCTGTTTTGCCTGCTGGGGCTGCTTTGGCCCCAGTTACGCTGGGGAGAAGGAACAAACATACAATCATCTACTTAGGTGGAGGTTTTAGGAAGATCACATGCGCAAATAATTCAACAAAATTCTAAATTGAGGGCATATACAGAAAAAACATTTAGTTCTTTACATACTTCACATGCTCGGTATGTTTGAAAGGTCGATTTAAACGATGGGCCACATTAATATATAAGTAAAAAACCCCCTTAAAAAATAAACCACAGTTGCTCCGGCTGATACAGAGGATTTTAAAACTTCTTTTTTTTTAAACAACTATTTATTCTTTACTGATTGGTCTTTCCCGTGGGACCTATTGGCTGAGATCCACCAAGACAGGGGTGGGAACCAGGTAAGAATAGTATCCAGTATTTTATTCTAATAATAAAACATGATTAGACTCCAGGATAGGGATGATTTCTTTTCCTGGTAGGAAAGTTTCTTTTTGTTACACATGCGAAACCCGTTTTTTTCTAATTCTTGATTTTTCCCCTTGTACTGGGGGACTTGACGATTTGGGGGGGGAAGGCTTCGTTGGAAATCTTAAACATGTGATTAATTCCAACTAGAGAATGCTTCTAACGGGTTTCCCCTTCCTTCACTCCTTGTTGTAGTTCTTATCCCTTACTTTGCAAAAAACACTTTTGTGCTCTTTAAAAAAAAATTGTTGCTAGCCCCCAAGTCCTCAAACCTCTGGGACCAAATGGCGGGTCCCTGGGTTCAAAATGACTCAGACTGCTGGCTCAACCTCCTACTTACCCTCCCACCCCCTTGCCCTCCCCATCACTTGCCAAGAATCTCATCCACCTTATAAAAGCGGATTGAACTATTTTCCCCCTTATGTGTCTTGCACTGTCTTCTAAATCATTTGCTGTGTGGTCTCTTGTTGCGTTCCACGTCGGTTTCGGACCAAAAATATGGATAAAAGCTTTTGTTTGATTAAACCCTTTTTAGAAGAGACCGGGCGCCTTCGTGGCTGTTTTTCAATTTCTCTCAAAATCTTCCGAAGGGCCAGCAAAACCATCCCCCTGTCTTGTCTGGTTATTTTCGCTGGGAAGAGGACACAGTTTTGAGCATCATCTGTTTGAATTAAAATGCCTTGCTTACCGGCTTGGATCCCTCTGCACTTGGTTGGTAATTACCCCAAAGGAGGACAAATTCCCCGAATGCCAATTGAAACAAATGTTTCCCCACATTCCTCTAAGCGGCTGATAAAAAAGTATCAAGAAAAGTCCTTTACTGAAGGAAGCCTTTTCTGTCGATGCATCCTCCAGGGTAAATTCTTTCCAAATGGTCCCTGGAACTTCTGGGCTGCATTGCTTTGGGAGGGTCCCACCAAACCCAACAAGCCGGTAAAAAGGAACGGCGGATTATATTAAAACCTGGCTGAAAAAAGAGAGGGATTATTCAAGGGGAATCCAATTAATGTGGGAACAGGACGGGGATAAGGAAAGGTAAAAAGAGAGCCCAATCGGTTAATTGTTAGATGAATGGGTTTGTCAGCCTTTTTGCTTTCTTCAGTCCAGAGGTTTGCTGATTTATTTCATATCAATGAGTGTCTATTAACCAATGATGACACCAATTTCATATTGCTAAATAAAGTAAATGACCCCAAAACCTGATAAACGCCCCATCGAACATGGTCGGAACTGGTTAATCAAAAAAAAAGAAGTTCTCATTCCTCCATTAATTAAAACGTTAAGGGTATACCTGGGTGCTGTTGTGAACAGTCTGCGTTTAATAGGGAACAGTCGCCCTTGGTTTAGATTTTCAAAATCTTCCCTTATTTCTGTAGGTGCTGTCAGGTATTAACCAAACAATGTGAAAAAATGCCTTTAAAAAAATTATCTCAAAAGGGCCATTTTCAAATGAATTGGTTGAAAGCCCCAACCATGTTTACTTTCAAAAATGTTAATTGCTGCGCTCACTTTCTAAGGTGTGATAATTTCATTTTGAAAACTAATTTGAGATTCAGGGGTTTGCCGTTAAAAGGGATTTCAGTTTTGTGCCAGTCAGTTCGCTGTGCGGTTTGATCAAGATTGATTGACAGTAGCCTTATTGGCAAACAGTAGCAAAAGAGCCACCCACAAAGCTTCTCAAAAACTTCCATTTAACATTTATTCCATGTTGCTAAAACCACTGATTAAACCTCGTTCTTGTTTTGACTGCACCTGTAGTAGATTCATAACTGTTTTTCCTATTATTCTCTTATTTTATAATAATTTATAATATGATCATATGAAGGTGTGCCGCGAAATAATCCTTTGAATATTTTGTGACCACAACCGTTTGAACCCAGCTGAGATCATCGCGATCATCAGTCATCATCATGCATCAGGCAGTCATCATTACCCAACCAGATGAGCTTCATGGACAAAACCCAACATCTCTTATCATGAAATTTGTTTGATCATGCAGAAGCACACTCAGCATGCATGAAATCTTTACTTAGTACCTAAACATATTTTCAGGGAATACAGGATGTAGAATACTGGTTGGCAGAGTGTTGCAGGCATCCCAGTCCTCCTCAGATGGATGGCAAGACGAGGGCTCTGCGCGAAACTCGTCATCCTCTGAGCTCTCGTGAGTGGTTCAGAGGATAATGTAGTCCTGCCCATCCTGAAGGGTAGGGCAGAGAAAATGTTTCTAAACATCACAAAGAACTCACCAACACTAAAGGTCCCCTATTATACTGTTTTTCATCATCATATATAACGTTCAGATATATACAAAACATCTCTCTGAAGAGTTTGGCTCGACATACCAAACAGATCATTGTAGCATCCCATAATCCCCTCTGTTTCAGTCCTGTTTCCAAAGTGCTGATTCTCTGTCTGTTACTTTAGATGAAAATAAGGAGCCACTCCCCATGCCCCTCTGAGAGATATTTGGTTAAAAAGAACACAATGGTGCTCTAGGAGGAGATTCAGGTGATGGGGGGGGGGGGAGGTTACCTTGGTTGGTGATTGGCTAATGGTTACACAAGCCAAATAAATGGTTATGACATCATAAAGTGGCCAAAATCTGATCAGCTCATTTTCAGACAGGTTTTTATATAAATGGATCAAACTTTCAGAATCTCTTTACACAGAGGGGACACATTTCGATGTAGAAAAGACATGAACAAGTGGTTTTGCATAATATGTGACCTTTATAACAAGCTATAATGAAGGATTCTCCAGCAGGTAACTTACAGGTAGGCTGTTGTCCTGCAGCAGGTCTCCCAGGATCTGAACCAGGGCGGGGAAGGTGGGTCTTTCTTTGAGTTCCCCCTGCCAGCAGGCCAGCATGATGCCATATCTACCAGCAGAGAGCAGCACGGTCATAACAACACAACAATGGGGTCTCCAGCTCCTCCTCACTCAATTACACCACTGCACATTTCATCTTGTATCCTTCTCTAACTGTGCAAGTCCTGGTTTGCCGTAAGGATTGGCTCGAGTTTGCCAATTAATATAATTTGACAGCAAAAGAGGAGAGAAAAAGAATAAATCAAAGCCCACGCTTACATTTCGGGGGAGGCAGTCTCAGGTGACCTCATCCTCACGCCGTCTTTCAATCGTCGGCAAAAGTCTTCATCAATCTGTACTCCCGGGTAGGGAGACGCACCTGAAGGCAGACAATAGGAGGATAAGACATTAGCAAAACAAGTTATTTGTGATTGGATTACAGTGATAACAATTTACTCTTCCATCTAAAAGTTAACAAACAATAATTTCATCATTAGTTTTGTCAGGATCTGAGATTGATAGGCACTTTTAGAAAGTACAACACTTCTGGAGGAGATTTCATTGCATCCCATTGATTTTTACACAGATAATGAAACGTGTTTCTTTACCCAGAGAGAAGATTTCCCAGAGGAGAACTCCAAAAGACCACACGTCACTCTGGCTGGTGTACAATTTGTCAAAGATGCTCTCTGGAGCCATCCATTTTAACGGCAGACGAGCCTGGGGGGACATTAAAACACCGGAGCAATACTATGAGACAGACACATTAACACATTGGAGAATCACCTTTGATTGTAACCCCTGTACGAGTGGTTAAAAAACAAACAGAAAGAAAGTGTTGAATGTTTCCCCCCAGTAAATGGAGATGGGTAATTAGCGGAGGGAGAGGGAGGATGCCTTACATTGCCTTTCCTGACGTAGTCGGGGTCTTTGTATATGTCTCTGGCCAGGCCGAAGTCACAGATCTTCACAATGTTGTTTTCTGACAGGAGAATGTTCCGGGCTGCCAGGTCTCTGTGGATACACTGTGGATACACGCATGCATCAAAACCCTGTGTGTGTGTGTGTGTGTGTGTGTGTGTGTGTGTGTGTGTGTGTGTGTGTGTGTGTGTGTGTGTGTGTGTGTGTGTGTGTGTGTGTGTGGGGAGATCCGGATGGTTACTAAGTCCTTTTCTTTATGGCGGTCATTTTTGACGAAGAACACCATGGGTTGACTAAATCATCCAAAATGTAATGAAAGTGGTAGTCAGCAATTTGATATGTTCAAATGTCTACTGTGAAGGATATCGAATCGAATGTAAAACAAAAAAATTATGATTGATGAAAGTAGTAAATCAAGCGACCTTGGGTATCATGAAAGGCGCTATAGAAATCCAAGTTATTATTATTATTATTGACTCGGTCAGATTTGACCCGAAGACAACAGGAGGGTTAAATCAAATCAAAATATTTTATAGCCCCAAATCACAAAAAGGGCTGTGCAAACAAAAGAAAAGACAAAAACAAAATACAAACGTCATAGCATAACAATTATAAACACATTATACAACATTATACTTCGTATACGTACTATCGTATTTTACTGTAGTTTCTCACATGAATGATTTCTATAGCTACGTATATAGCTAGCTACAGCTATCCCATCTTAGCTTAGCTCAGACACTGGAAACAGGGACAACTCCAACCCTGGCTTCTTTCAACAGCTTTACAAAAGATAAAAACTGTAGAACTATTTCTATTACATCCTAAATTCCTTTCTCTGAACCCCCTCCATACCTGACTTCGTCATTTGAGGAATTTTGGCTGAGCCTGTAACCACCTCACCAGGATGTTTCCTGCTGACTGATACTGCGTCAGGATTAAATTGGCTGCCTGGCTGATGAGCTAAACCGTTATTTGTCTTTTCAGTTGTTTAAGTTTGTCATGACTTCAGGCATGAGTTAGGACCTGACGCTGCTCATAGTGGGATCATGAGTCATGGTTAAAGACTGAGTCAAGCTGCAGCAGGACTCTTTGCTGGATTCCAGCACATTCCAGTGTCAGTGTATTGTTATAATTACAATGAAATGAGAAGCAGCTGACATTGTACAAAAAAGAAGAAAACCTCAAAGATTTGAAACAGCGAGACTGACAGACTTGTTTTCTGTAGATCTGTGCCATCGTGGGCGGGACGTTCACAGTGGCAGGAATCATCGACTCCTGTATATTCACCGCCTCAGAGGCCTGGAAGAAGATCCAGATTGGCAAAATGTCCTGAGGACCGCTCCCCACTCCTCCCTTCAACTTAAATAAAGTGCAAAATAAGCCTGTTAGCTAAATCAAAGCCCACTTCCTTTTGAAGATTGTATCATCGTAACCAACGGCGTGGCTCCGGGCGCTCGATCTAACTACCAGGCTTCAAGACTGCGTCTCCGTTACTGAAGATCCTCTCAGGCTGCATCTGGTGACGCATGGATGCTGACTATCACATGACTGCTTCTACATCTTTGGTGTAAAGGGAAGAGACGAGGGAAGCTCGTTTGTTACTGGTAATATGAAGTGCTGTGTGTCAAAGTTCAACCGATCTGGGTATTTGAAGGCTACACTTAAAATGAAGTCAAACAAAACAAAAAGGCTGATATTACATTTTCTCTTTTTTTTATGTGTGTATGACACAAATCTTTAAATGTATTCAATTGTAGAGAAGTGTTCAGGTTATGGCTGTAAAATGTACAAACAAGACACACTTAAATGTGTTTTTAAAGGATCAGTTCAACCAGTGTATCAGTCTTTTTACCCATTCACTCTTCAGGAGAACAATCATTTTATGGAAGTGTTTGGGTACATTAAGCCGGTATGTGAATAGGCTGAACTTTAAAGTGCTTCCATAGTTCACACTTTCCATAACAACATTGTGCATCATCTGATGTCACTTTGTTCCATCCAATACACTTTTTTATGGCCAGTTTCTAACCATGTGCCTTTAGGTCACCTCTTCCATGCTTATCATCAGCTCTCATGTGTTATTCTGTCTGTTTGCAGTGGCTGCCACTAAAACCAGTGTCTTGCATGTTACAACTTTCTGTGTAGATTCACTTTCTAGAGTTTATTTTCAAACCAGTGATCATTGTTTACCTTTCAGTCAATTTAAACCAAATATATCATCAATGGTGTTAACCGTCCTTGCTTTTACTTTTTTCATTCCTTCTCAATTATCTCAGAAAATCTAGAGAATGTCTGTTTTTTTTTACGATGGATTTATTGGACTTTTGACCCGGTACAGGAATTTGTTTACTCATTGATAAAGTTGTAAAGAAGAATTGGTTTTGTAAGGAGAACATGTATAGACCATGATGTTTGGTTGTAAAAAGATCAACGATGGTGATAATCAAACTGCTCTTTCTACTGTTGAGGTCATCCACTTCCTGTTCCCTCTCAAAGTGTTCCTCGAGTAAAGGTACCATAGAAACCACTGGTGTCATTATTTGTTCATGTTTCTATAAGCTTGTCACATTCATTCTCTTTTCCTAATTTAGCTTTTCAGTTTAACAATACGATTTCCAAATCATATTTAATGGTTTACAAAGAAAAAGACAAAAAGGGAAATAAATGGATAAATAATTGGTTTAAAATCAGATAAAAACAGAAACTCAATAGCATTCAAGCTGCTTTAGGGTTTCATATCCAAAGCTTCTTTGAGGTGGTGTGTCCAAAAACAATCTTGGTCTGCAAATTGAATGAGTTGATTTTAAACTTCCCAAGAAGGGAAGGCACATTTATCAAGAACTTGTTCCTTGTTTTGGATACATTGTGCGAGCTTGTTATAGGTTTTAGATTGTCCAACTCAAAAGGAAGTGTTCATCTTCTAGATTGTTGTCAACAAGGAATACTTTTTTATTTCTTTCCTGAAAAAGTACACTATTTCCTAATAAAACTAAAGTAGTCAAGTCATGGAGTCAAACCCTGCAGGTTTGCAGACATGTTTCACCTCAAAGGTGTCTGCTGGAACCATTTACACGTGTCACAGTTAAACTGAATCTATCCAGTTACCCTTAACAACAATATTATTTATAGAAACTAAAAATGGAGCCTTTGCACCGATTGATTTCTAACTTGAAGCTCTATTGGCTGTACTTGTGTCTGAAGTGGACTTTGCACCCAATTGCTGCAGCTCATTTCCCTCCAGTGTCAACACGCTGCAGGTTGTCATGTGTTGTGGGCCTGTGAGGCTGTCACAGCTGTCATCATGCTTACGTCTAGCTCTGATAGTAGGTGCTTAGTCTGACTCACCCCATTTTACTTGCCCCACATCCCTCTGTTTACCTCCGTCACTTATCCCTTGTTCACCATGTCGCATATCCACGTGTCTCCACCTCCAGAGAATGACACAGATCCTTAAATATCTTGCTATTTTCCTTGATTGGTCCACCATGTGGATCATCATTTGTTGACTTGTTTGTTTGTTTATTTGGTGACGATTGCAAATTAGCCCTTAAAACATGTATTTGACTGGAGTAATGACAACCTACTAATCAGAGAGAAGAGAGTGAGAAGACAATCATTTTCTTTATTGCCTCCTATATGAGTCATAGTTTGTACAAAATTAAGGAAGAAAACTCTGTATATAAAAGATAGAAATGTGTAAATAGAAAAATACTTAGGGTTTGTTTTTGTCATAATGCTGCCACCCAGTGGCTGGTTAGAGGAACTTCAGGCACATAGAGCTCAGTCTGTGGAGGCAGCAGCCCGAGAGGAAGCGATGATCAGAGGTCTAGTCACACAGATCTACCATTTAATAAATGACTTATTACATGTCACAACTGGAACTTTACTAAAGCCTCCCTTACCCTGAGCTTTCCTACTTTTTTTAAACTCTCCATTCTCTCGGGCTGCCTCTCTGGTAAGGTTACACGTTGGAGGAGGCCAGGCAGTGGGCGTCCGGTGCGGAGAAGAAGTCGCAGAAGCCCTCCTCAGACAGGTGTCCGTACTCGTTGTTGTAGAAGGTCTGTCCTGAGAGCTGACTGAAGAAGGTGGGCCGGAGTCTGGAGCTGCCGGGGTCACTGCTGCGCCCCAAGGAACCATGGGATGCCGTGAGGGGCTCTGTGCTGCTGCTGCTGCCCATACGGCTGGGGAGAGAACAACATACATCATCTACTGTGGGAGGGTTTAGGAAATCACATGCGCAAATAATCACAAATCTAAATGTGCTACTACAGAAAACCAACATTTAGTTTTAATAACTCACATGCTCGCATATGTTTGAAAGGGGTCGACTTTAAACGATGCAATTAATATATAAAGTAAAAACCCTTAAAAAATAAACCACAGTGCCCGGCTGATACAAGAAGGTATTTAACCTTCTTCTTTTTTTTTACAACTATTTATTCTTGACTGATGTCTTCAGTTGGAACTAATTGGGCTGAGATCCACAGACAGGGTGGGACAGTTAAATAGTATCAGTATATTATTAATAATAAACATGATAGGACTCAGGATAGGATTGATTTTTCTTTCTGGTAGGGAAGTATTTTTGTTACAATGCGAACCCAGTTTTTTTCTATTCTTGATTTCCCTTGTAGTGACTTGAACGATTGGGAAGGCTTCGTGAAATCATTAACATGTGATAAATCACTAGAAATGCTCTTAAAGGTTCCTTCTTCATCTTGTTGTAAGTCTTATTCCTTACTTTTAGCAAAACACTTTTTAGTGCTCTTTAAAAAATTGTTGAGCCAAGATCTCAAAACTCTGACAAGCGTCCTGGGTTCAAATGACTCAGACTGCTGCTCACTCCTACTTACCCATCCACCCTGCCTCCATCCTTTGCAGATCTCATCACTTATAAAGCGATGACTATTTTCCCCTTATGTGTCTGCACTGTCTCTAAATCATTTGCTGTGTGTCTCTTGTGCGTCACTGTCGGTTTCAGACAAAAATATGGATAAAAGCTTTTGTTTGATTAACCTTTTAGAGACGGCGCCTCGGTGCTTGTTTTCAATTCTCTCAAATTCTTCCGAGGCCAGAACCATCCCGCTGTCTGTCTGGTTATCCTGGGAAGAGACACAGTTTGACATCATGTGAATTAAATGCCTTGCGTTGACCCGGCTGGTATCTCTGCAACTCTGTTTGGTAATTACCCAAGGAGACAATTCCCGAATGCCATTGAACAAATGTCACATTCCTCTAAGCGCTGATAAAAGATCAAGAGCTTACTTGAGGAGCTTTCTGTCGATGCATCTCCAGGGGAAATTCTTCAAATGTCCTGACTCTGGGCTGGCATGCTTTGGAGGGTCCCACAAACACACAGCCGGTAAAGGGCACGCAGTTATAATACCTGCTGAAAAAAGGAGAGGATTATCAGATCAATACATGATGGACAGACGGATAAGGAAAGGTAAAAGAGAGCAATCGGTTATTTGGTTAGGAATGGGTTGTCAGCTCTTTGCTTTTCTCAGTCAGAGGTCTGATTTGATTTCATATCAATGAGTGTCTATACATGATGACACAATTCAATATGCTAAATAAAGTAAATACCAACTGATAAACGCAATACGACATGTACGACTGGGTAATCAAAAAAAAGAAGTCTCATCCCATTTAATAAACGTAAGTTACCTTGTCTGTTTGTGACAGCTAGTTTAATAGGAACAGTCGCTTGGTTTAGATTTCAAATCCTGTCTTATTTCTGTAGGTTGCTGTCAGGGTATTAACACAATGTGGAAAAAAGCTTTAAACATTATCTCAAAGGCATTTCAATGATGGGTTGGAAGCTCACATGTTTACTTTTCAAATTGTAATTTGCTGCTCATTCTAAGGTGGATAATTCATTTTGAAACTAATTTGAGAGTTCAGGTTGCCGTTAAAGATTCAGTTTTTGTGCACGTTTCAAGCTCCTGTGCGTTTGATCAGATTTGATTGACAGTAGCCTTGGCAACAGTAGCAAACCACCACACAGCTCTCAACTCATTTACATTCATTCAATGTTGCTAAACCCTGATTAAACTCTATTCTTGTTTTACTGCCATATAGTAGATTTCATAACTGTTTTTCCTTTATTCTCTTATTTTTTTAATAATATATATGATCATATGAAGGTGTGCCGCGGAAATAATCTTTTGAATAATTTGTGACCAAACCGTTTGAGACCCACTGAGATCATCATCATCATCATCATCATCATCATCATCATTACCCAACCAGATGAGCTCAGACAAAACCCAACATCTCTTACATGAATTTGTTTGATCATGCAGAAGCACACTCAAGCATGCATGGAAGAATCTTTACTTATACCTAAACATATTTTCAGGGAATACAGGATGTAGATATACCTGGTGGGCAGAGTGTTGCAGGGCATCCTCAGTTCCTCCTCAGATGGAGGGCAAGACGAGGCCTGCGAGAAACCGTCATCCTCTGAGCTCTGTGAGTGGTTCAGAGGAATGTAGTCCTTCCCATCCTGAAGGGTAGGCAGAGAAAATGTTTTCTAAAAGCTATTCACAAGAACTCACCAACACTTAAAGGTCCCCTATTATACTGTTTNCACGGGTGGCGGCAGAGGTGTGAGAACAGTGTGTGTGTGTGTGTGTGTGTGTGTGCGCGTGCGTGCGTGCGTGCGCGTGCATGTGTGCTAGTGTTTGCATGCATTGATTCCAACATGTTTGAGGCAGTAATGATGTGGAGGAAGTAAATAGCAGTTGATCTTTTTGCTTTAGTAATCTGTTGCCTTAAAATCTGTGTGTTTGTGTGTCTGTGTGTGTGTGTGTGTGTGTGTGTGTGTGTGTGTGTGTGTGTGTGTGTGTGTGTGTGTGTGTGTGCGTATGTGTTTGTTTGTGTGTGTGTAACTGGGACTGGACTATGTCTGGAGCTCTGTGTCCTGGCTCTCCGTTGTGAGTCATTGGAACACAGACAGTCTGCTTAGAGTCCGCTCAGATTGTTGATATTTATTACAAACTAAAGCCGCTTTGGTAGACACCATTTTATTCCCGTTATTCACTCGATTACCAGTGGATTCACATGTGAGGTTGGGGCTGTTCACAAGAATCAGATGAGTGTACCCACAATCCAACGGAAACAACAGATTGGATTAATTAAGTCTCAGCTTTCTGAGACAGAAATCTAACCGAGAAACGCTCATGAGATCCATTTGTTTTACAGTTCATTAAGTGGAAACGATAATCACCTAATTAAATAACTTTTGGTGATGAATAATAACACAGATTGCATTGCTACAGATTACTCAAAGAGTATGTGCTAGTGAGTTCAACGTAATCAAATTCAAAAGATAATGTTTACTTTTTAAGATGATATTGTTTATCCTATTTTAAATTGGATTCTCATGTTAATTGTCATTTAAATGTTGTATTGTTAAATATTTAAGTTTTTATTAAATAGATGTGCAATTTGATATTTTTTCTATTTTTTTATTAATTCTTAATTTATTCGATTTGTATATATTTTGATTTATCATTTAATTAAATGCCACTATCAAGTATTCAACAAGGAAGCAACTTGATTTTATGAAAAAGCATAAATATGTGTTTTTGTTTCCCCAAAAACTGCCACATTTATTGTAATGCTTTGCAGCTGTGAGTAGCTTCTAAATCACCTTGGTGCACTTGGGGACAAAACCAACAACTGATCCAAAAAACGTCCCTTGGATTTAGTATGGAATATATTTCATTATATTGGTATTATTTAATTGTGGAACAGTTGTAGTTTATGGTGACTTGATAAACGGACAAGCACAAAGGACTGAAAATCTGAATGATCCAGGCAACAACGTACTGCCTCTGTGACAACCCTCTGGTGACATTTCACCACAGCTTTTTCACTAAATGTCTCTGTAATGCTGACAATTAACCTTTCTGGAGGCCAGGAACTCCATCCCACGAGCCACCTGGAAACTGTAGCAAATGAGATCTTCTATCGTCAGAGGGGTTTTCCACAAGTCCTCCACTGGAGAGCAAAGACGAGGGAAAGGTTAAAGATGGAGAAACAAGGTACAATTAAACTACAATTGTGACAAGAAAATGAGTTAATGTCACCTATTATGCTAAATCTACTTTTTCATGTCTTTTATACATAAATGTGTGTCCCCTCTGTATAAAGAGATTCTGAACGTTTCAGGAAAAAACACCCCATCTATTTTTGTCCTGACCCATTTATATAAAAACCTGTCTGAATCAGATTTTGGACACTTTGTGATGTCAAAACGATTTTTTGGCTTGTGTAACCATTAGCCAATAACCAACCAAGGTAACCCCCCCCCCACCTTATCACCTGAATCTCCTCCTAGAGCACCATTGTGTTCTTTTTAACCAAATATCTCGTAGAGGGGCGTGGGGAGTGGCCCCTTATTTTCATCTAAAGTAAAAGATCAGCACTTTTGAAACAGGGCTGAAACAGAGGGGATTATGGGATGCTACAATTAATGATCTGTTTGGTATTTCGAGCCAAACACTTCAGAGACATGTTTTGTATATAACTGAGATCTATAATATATTGATGGAAAAGTGTATAATAGGGGACCTTTAAATCGTTCAATCTTGTGAATTTCAGCAGACTTACTTTTCTCCACAGCAGGACTGTCATTGGGCAGAATGGTTAATGGACCCTGAGGACTGTTGAGCGGTGAGGAGCGTGGAGAAGGCGGATTGCGAGCTCTCGGGTCAATTTGACCCGCCTCAATCATCCGTCTCACCTGACTCTGAGTTTTAGGAGAGCGGTCCTGAGTGCGGAAACAATTCAATGTGTTTAATATTTTAAAATAGACTTAGAACATGTTGTCCAATAAAGGAAACACACACTTAAGCTCTCTTCCAGTAAAGAGGATTCTCCCTGCAGTCAGATTATTGCAGCAGAATAAACAAACATAAAAAGTGCATCAGTGTGGTGTTTTATACCCGGTACGGGAGGAAGAACTCTCTCTTGGCTCGTAGGAAGTTGGACAGATTTCCGTACTTGCAATATTCCACTATCACCATCAGAGGACCTGGGGATACAGACACTTTTATTGTAGGCTATTGTTCCACTAATATTTCAACACACATTGTTTTCCTGTTTGCAAAATAGTATTTGTTTCTTGTTATGAAGCTATTTTTTTCACACCATATTTAAAATAGTGACAGTTGGCATTCTGTAAGCAGGTCCTGCCGGGGATTAGCTGCGAGGCTAACTTTTGTTTTATGTTTTAGGGTAAACAGGGATAAACATTACCAGATGTGAACCCTCAAAAATGTGCTCTAAAGATCAAATGATGTATGGACAGAAAATTAGGGTGTCAAAGAAAAGAGAGGCAGCTGTTTGACTTTCTCACTTTGTTTTTCCCACATGAAAATGTTGGGTGGAAGCTGCAGGGTGGACAAAATAATAGAGAAGGGATTTCAACAAAGCTGAAAACAGAACTATATTTAAGCCCGACCTATCATGAATTGTTGGGGCGGATAACGATTACTACACTAGGGAGTAAAATCCTTTTTATATTGGCTTATATTTCTATATATTTTCCTTTTTCATATTTATTATTATTATAATTATTAGTATTATTGTTGTTGTGTATCCAAACTGCAGGTGTATGGGAAAAAACAGCAATATTCTACTTTCTACTTCTACTCTCTAAAAGGAAATTGTCTCAAGAATCATGTAAACATATCTTCTAAAACAGAAAAAGTGCCATAAAAGGAAAATGATCACGTCTACACATTGCTTTTTAAGGAAATCCTGCTCATTGTGCATTCAACCTCTACCAACACTCATCATTATATGGCCATATGACATATTTAAGCACACAAAGTGAAGTGTAATACATGTACAATTCACCATTTGGTTTGGTGCAGGCTCCCAACAGGTTCACCACATTCAGATGGTTCCCAATGTGAATCAGTATCTTTAACTCTGACATCAAGGCCTTGTCCTCGCTGGCTGTGGCTCCATCTGAAACACACACGCACAATTCGAAACATTAGGTATGAAATAAATCTCATTGTTTATATCTTTATTGTTTATCTACCAGGCTGTAATGTTTGTGCATCAGAGACTTCCCAGAAAACCTCCTGTCCCAAACACAAAAACAAATCTCACCCTTCAGCATCTTGACAGCCACCGTGTCCAAAGTGTTGCTTTTGCTGACGCCGATTGATGCCTCAATTACTTTTCCAAAGGCACCGTGGCCTAAAACTTTGCCTGTGTCAGGAGAAAGGAGCAAACAAGCACAGAATATTCATGATTCATTGATCAATGCAGGTTTTTAGTCTCATAGGAATAAACAAACAGTCTAGGGGTCGGGAGGGGTTGCATGATGTCAATGCATCTGGCTTCCTTATAGACAAGGGGGAAGGAATTAAAATCTCGATTGCAGCATTTTGGAAACAACATGTTCCCATGAGAAGGACACTGTCGTGGAACAGATGCTTTTCCTCAGAGCGTTTTTAAAAAGCTCTGCACGGAATGGGCACATATTTAACATTAGCACTTCACTTGGCAGCACATTGCCCTGCTGGCTGCAATCCAAACTCATGCCATTAAGGCTTCTGCAAATGGAAAACTAATTCAGTTTCATCCATCTATTCGCTCTCATCTTGGCCTGCGTATTCCCCCACAAACCCCCCCGCTCCAATTTTTCATTATGAATCCGAGCATCCATTGGTACTTTTCTCCCAGCCTTCCCGCCTGCTCACCCAGTCGCAGTCTGTCTCTGGAGATCTCCCACTGAGAGGAGTCATAGGGCAGGTATTCACACTGCTCATCCAGAGGCACCTCCCCCGGGTCCATAATGATTGACAGGTAGCCCGTCTTTATGTCTGCCGGATTAACCTGAAATTCAGAGAGAAAGAGACAGCTAATGTCAACCACGATATATATTTTTCAACATGTATTGACTATCTGCCAGCTGGGATGTTATCTCCCCAGTTAAAGAGATTCCGAGATCTAAGTTCATATTTATGAGGATAAACAGTTTAAAACACATAACGATACAATATTACAAATGTGCTTTTTATAGCTCCTGAGAAGTAGACTTCCAGTGACAAATGAAAGCATATTGCAGCCACATAACCTATTATGGTATGGAAGGCTTTCAGAGCCAGCTGCTGACTGATCACAGTGTGCTTGAACACCTGTGGCCGAGCATTACATCTGCAGTCCACAGCTCTCCATGTTCAATTCACGAGAGGTGGGAAGTAACTAAGTATATTTACTCAAGTACTATACTTAGGTACAATTTGTAGGTACTTGTACTTTACTTGAGTACTTCCATGATATGCTACTTTGTTCTTTTACTCCACTACATTTATCTAGTCACTTTAGTTACTTTACAGATACAGTATATATTAATTATAAACAATATGACCCTTAAATAAGACTTTAGTTCCACCTGTGATTAACACTTGAATGCATCAATATTATAATTAAAACATCTAATATATATTATTCTGAAATGGAACAATCTGCATATTAAGTACTTTTACTTTTGGTGCCTTAAGTATATTTTGATGCTAACACTTTTGAGCTTTTACTTGAGTTACATTTGACTTGTAACAGAGTATTCCTACACTCTGGTACTTCTCCCACCTCTGAATTTCACACAAAGATTTCACAACTGGATCTCATGGTAACTGACTCTGTGTGCCTCGTCTCTAGTGACTACATCTTTGTATAAGTCTTAATTATACTAAATCAAGATCTTTTTTGTTTGCCTCTGTCTTTTAAAGAAATATAATAATTATAATTGTTGTTCACTGCACTGTAACTTTTATTCCTGTTCTTTATATCTGCCTTATCCTAATTTAGCGTGTTGTTTTCTATTCTCTTTAATGACTGTTGTATTTGAGAGTCTTTCTTAAGTGTGTTTCCTTTGCACTTTGTCTCAATGCTTTTCATGTTTTCTGTAAAGCAATTTCAATTTGCATCAATGCTGAAGATAGCCATATTAATAAATATGCCTTAACCTGTTTTAATAATCAAAAATCTGTCATCTCAACATTTATGTTTTTATGTTTTTATATATGCTTTTATCATAACATAAGCATCTCTGTTGAATGTTGTTTTACTGATTGTATTTACCTGTTATTTGAAGTGAATTTTTGTTTTTAGGACGACTTTCAACATCTGTCCAGGGACTACAGATGAAAAATAGCCTGTTGCCTAACTCTGTCGCATTTACAAATTTGTCAAATAAAAAAAAAAAGTTTTCCCAGAGGTTCAATATTTTAATGGTGGTTTGCTTTTCTTATATTATTTACAGCAGCAACATATTGCCTCATATGACTCATTCAATCTTTTAAATTCAGTTTCAGTCGCTCCTACAATGTGAATTCAACACCATGTGCTTTTAATAGCATACGGGAAGCTGTGACATACTGCTAATATTCATTGGGCAATTAAACTGTCTGCTGATGACAGGAGCTGCTGTGATGGCCAGTAGGCTTATATTGAAAGTCTCCTCACGTCTCAATAATGCTTATTTTTTAAAAATAATGATGTGTTTTTACATTTTATTATTTACATTTCAAGGCATCCTTAAGGCTCAAGGGGTCAAGAGACGAACAGATAGAGTTAATTTGAGAGAGAAGAGAGAAAAAAGAGCCATCTGTGCATAACAATCAATGTCTTGATTCATTTGACAACGACAGCACCGCACTGTGAATCTGCTGCAGAGCAACAGTGCGAGACGGTTTAATAAGTGACCAAGAAAGTAAAATAAAAAGCAATTTGGCTTCATTATAGACGATGAGGATAAAGGACTTATTTGACCATTTCCTGGCAGCTATCAGCAACTCTCCCGAATGAATACCGTCTCAAAGATCAAACAGATTGTGCTCTAACGCCAACAGACATGCTTTGAGTCAGAGGTTAAAGAGTCTTCGTCACAGCCTGTCACTTTCTCTCACAAACCCACGGACACACACACACACACAGACATGCGGGGGAAATTGGCACCCTCTCTGACCCGCTTGACATTGCAGAAGATAAGGATGAGCAGAGTCCAGAAGAAGATGGCGATGACTCCGGTCCCGATGAGGATTACAATCTCCACATTGGCCTTGTCGTTTGAACCTTGATAGAAAGAAAGAAAGAAAGTCACTTTTGAATGCAACTGTTGTATCTGAAGCAACTTTATAGGGCTTTTCCCTCTCCCAGCTGTAGGGGGTGCTACAGTATATCCCAAACAATTGATCCTCATTGAAACCTGCATTGAAGTCATCAGGTGGTGCTCAACAGTCTTTTAATCAATTCAGCCATTCATCATGAGTCCACTTCGAGCAAACACATTCAATTATGAATTCCGAGCACGAAATGTCCCAGCAGTCAATGACTTTGATTTTCACTGCGGAGAGCTCAACAAAAAGCACAAAAAATACAGCTGCAGTGAAAAGTGTGAGAGGTGAAAGACTAAAAATCCTGTCGTGTACATTTTGTGTGTGAAGAGGTGAGCTCGAGGCCATCGGTGTTTTCAGGCCTGAGTGCACTTAAGCAAGCATGTCAGTGGCGAGCGACTGTGAGTGGATTCAGGTGTGTTGTGCGACAGTGTGTGTGAGTGTGTGTCTCACCGATGACCTGGACGGCAGCTGAGGAGTGGACGCAGCCCCGCTGGTTGCAGGCGGTGCAGGTGTAGAGCCCGGCGTCCTCCTCGGTAACCCGCTGGATACTCAGCGTGCGGTTTGAGTCCTGCAGCTGGATCCCTGAAGAGAGACACACATAGCACCGCAACTCAACACTCCACATCAGAAATTCAGCAACTTTTTTCAACAACATTCCCCGAATACTTACCTCTGGACCTCGATCTGTAGAGTTCATTTATAATTCTCGCCCCTGTGAGGGGAGACACATTTGCCCCAGCAGCCTCTCTGAGAGAACCCAGAGCCTCGGCTGTCACTCACACCCATGTTGACCCTCCATACCACCTCCTATTCTCCTTCAGATGTACGGAGGAGATGCATGCTGGGAAAGCTAATGAGCCATGAATATCTGCCTGCGGGGTTTTATGCGTGGGTGTACATATGTGCAGTGCAGCAAACACATCTGCACACAACTTTTTGTCGCTGGTTCTCTTCGATACATTTGTTAAACAGTATGAGTGTGTGGGTGGGCTGGTGGGTGGTTGTGCATCTGTGTGTTGACTTTTAATCAGGATCAGGACAGAAAGTGTACCAACAACAAAAAGAACACCTGCCAAAGTCTGTCAGTTTTTTAATAAATATTAACAAAGCACATTATTTTTGATCTTTTATCTAATGTCAGAAAAGCAGATAGGATCTCTTGAGCTACGAGTCCTAAATCAAGATCCAAGTTGCTGTGTTAGACTGTACAGTACGTGTGGGTTGGAGGGTGGGCGGCAGCACTGTTGTGTAAACGTGTGCATCACCTGTGTGGGTGTATTTACACACCTGACATTTGGTTGAGAGGCTGGTTGTCTTTAAACCAGGAAAGCAGGGGCAGAGGTCGGCCCTCCACGTCGCACTCCATCCGCAGAGACTCCGTCACGTTCACCGTCTGGTTGGTGAGGCTGAGCTTGTATCGAGGCGCCTCCGGAGCTACAGGGACAAAAAGAGGCCAAAAGGCGGAGAAATAGCAGGAGCAGAGAGAGAAGGGAAATCAGCACTTGTGACTTGTCTGAAATGAACATGTTTCATGGTTTTGAACAAAGGTCAAAAGTCAACAAATCCCATTAAAATGTACATCTACCCTCCAGGGTATGATGCAAGGTTGCAGCACACAAAATGGGTGAATCAGGCATTTGTTTGTGCATTACAGCCCCTCAGCTCTTTTCTTTGCTGCTATGTGTGAACTGTGCAAACATCAGGTACTCTTTCCATTACGTGTGGATGAGGGTATTGGGCTGCGTGGGCTAAGAGAGAGTGTGTGTATTTTTAAGCCTGCAGCATCTCAGCACAGGCTCCACTGCGACCTGTGTGTGTTTCGCCTGCCAAGGGCTGAAATGTTCTCCGCAATCAGCTGTAGTTGAGAGTCACTACTCTGTGCACCGGGCACGTGTGTGTATCTGTGTCTGGAGCTTTCTTCTCATTCATGTCTCACCTTTTACAGAAATGTATCTGAACAGGCACTGTTTCTCCCCGCTGCGCCTGCTCTGAGCCTCACACACATAATGACCCTCATCCTGCATCTGTATGGAGGGGATGGTGAAGTCCAGGACCCAGCTGTTAGAGGGCTCCTGGAAGGAGAGCTGGCCTTCGAGGGTGTGGGCGTAGAGGTGCACGCTCCTGCAGTCCAGCTCCCGAGCCTTGCCCTGCTCGTCCTGCAGGGCCTGGGGGTCCAGGCGGTACCACTGCAGCTGCTCGTAGGTGTAGTTGTCAGCGCTGCAGCACAGGGACACTTTCTCCTGCTCCAGAAGATCCTCCGAGGGGTGGACGTCCACACTGAACCCCTCAGGGATGGCTGTGAAGAAACAGGGAAGGGCAGGTGGGGCTGTTAACTTCCCTAACAACACAAAGCTCTTGTGTGGACATGAACATTGAGTCCTTGAATAAAATGTATTTTTGGCATGGTTCATTGGTGAAAGAAGAATAGAAAAACTGAGAAAATCCTGAATGATTTGAAGTAAGTTGTGGCCAAGTTAAACAACAGGAATACAATTTAAAAAAAATTGTAATTCCTCATTTATATTTTGTATGCTTTCTACTTTCCCAAATATACATAGTCGTAAAAAAATGTAGCAATTTAACACACCTCCAGAAAAATTGTCTCAAGCTTGAGCGGGCGAGCTGCTCGTCTATGTTAGTCCAACGTTTTTTTATTTAAATAAAAATAAGGTTTCAGGCAAAATGCATGTGTTTGGGAAGTAGTGAGCAAACAAATGGATACATAGAACTTGCATTATACTTCACAAGGGTTTGAAAACAACTTTTCTTCAAGAATTCACCAGTGAGTAATATACCAATGTGTATGTGCTCTTTTTTTTGGTCAAAAGCAGGGTAAAATCTAACCCGACATACTTACTGGTCACATAGAAGTAAATCAGCCGCTCGTCTTTGCCAACTTTGTTTTCAGCAGAGCACTTGTACATGACGGAAACACTGGCGTTGCCAATCTGGAGCCTGCTGACTGTCTGTGAGGTGAGAAAAGGTGATGAGCCTTGAATTTATCAGAAGGAAACACACATGTTCTAAAAGGAAATCCAGTCTGCCATCAATGTGTGGATGTGGATTCAATGTGAGCTGACATAGATCTGATTTTGAGGTTGAAAGGCCAGCATGAAGCCTGCTTAATTAGGTGTGGCTGAAAGACATCAAAATTCTGCAATGGCTGCGCGTGTTCATAAAATAAAATTCCCTCTTATTATTGTGGATGTGCACATGAGGCCCCTGCAAGCAGTCCTTACAGGAAGTCGGCAGAGGAAGACTGTTCTAAATATTTTGTATGTGGAAATGGTCCATGATTGAGAAATGTTGTTATGGATTTCAGAATTTAGGAGACTTACATAAAAGCCTCACAGTTCACAGATAAAGCCACTCTATATCAATGTGGTGTTTACTCAGCAACGACCAGACGATAATGTCATTCTTTTACGGAGAATTCTTAAAAAGGTTGGCTTTTGCATAAAACTGTAAGAACAATCAAACAGCTATGATGCACCTTTTGTCGGCCATCCACCACCTCAACCGCCGTTTCAACCGCCTCGATTTCATTCATGCCGTTTTCCCAGTTAATGTCCTGCCAGTTCTGACAGTCTGCGATCCTGTCACTCCGGCCTTTCCTGTCTCGCCGGACCCTGGAGAGAAACACACACACACATTCATGACACCTTGCTTCATTAAGATTCACATCACAGAGCTGGCAGTGGGGAAGAATTCAGAAGCAAATCAAACCAGACATCCTATGGTTTTATGAAGAAAAAAAATGTGTATGTACTGGGTTGCATTTCAGATCAGAACATGAGCTCAATCCCAAAGCAAAAAAGGCAATTATAAGTGTCCTGGCAACTAATGTTAAAAGTATGGTATCAATTTCCATTATGATGAACCATGGTGTGACTGTGAACATCTTAGCAGAACTAATGAAACGTGAAATGAAAAAAGACACCGGCCAACTATTAACCAAAGGCAATAAAGATTAGTTTCTTTTTACAATCTTCATATCGTATTAACTGTATACAAATTTCATAAATAAAACATAACTTATTTTAAATGATCACAAACCAATTATTTCTGAAATAAACTGGATGATACAATCAGTATAAGATGCTATTGCCACTATTAGAATATGGAAAAACATACACCATGTTTGTTTTTGTCACTAGGTAGAAATTACATCGACTTACATTCATTTCCTGAGACTTTTCCTAACCTTAAATATGATTGGTGAATTCTGGTGGTTTTAATTACCCAAATCTTCCACTAAACACATATTACACATGTTGGGTTGTTAAATTCCGATACTGATATTGTTATGGCCATGATTGCGACGTGGCTAAAGGAATGGCAATGATGGTCAGAAGTTACAGACTCCCCGGTAAAGAAATAGTCCGGAACAGAACAGTGTGTTAATCATACTTTGATTTCAGATGGATTAAACTATCAAGGTATGATGTGCTCATTATTGAGCTTTAGAGGTGCTGAAAGGCCAGGCTACAGGTTTCCTCTAGTTACAGTCTTTATGCTCATCTTAGTTAACCTTGCTCGGCAGTAGCCTTATATCAATTGTACAGACATAAAAGTGATAAAGATCTACCCACAAGGGACTGAGAAATGTAAAATATCAGGGGGGAAATCACCTAAAATATGTCCACGAATAACACATTTTATTTTATGTAATTTTGAAAAGACTCTCAGACTTTGCAGGGAATGGTGCTCGCAACAACTAATGTGAATTCAGTGTCTCGCTCGAAATGTTTTACGTTAAAAAAATAAAAAAATAAAGGAAATTCAATTCCTACAGCACACGCCAGAAAGGGTTGGCGCCCATGAAATGTCACATGAAGTGTACAGGAGACACAACATAAACTGCTCTTTTGGAGTTTACGTTAAACCTAATCTTCCACTGTGGTGTATTTCTGAATGTAGTATCTGAGCTCCTCATTTCCACACTAATGTTAAATGCCAAAAGAGAAAGGTCAAGAGAACAGTAATAACTTGAAAGGTTAAGGCTTGGAGGAAGATGGAGGCAGGGGAATAGTTGAGGGATATTCAGCAGAAGCGGTCGCATTACCGGGGTGGAAATTACTGAAATCTAATATATGGCTGTGCAAAGAATCCATTACATCGCGTTGGGGGACTGAGCATGTGTGTGTGTGTGTGTGTGTGTGTGTGTGTGTGTGTGTGTGTGTGTGTGTGTATGGAGGATGATCCGCAGAGTAACATGATGACAGCGCGGAGGAGGAAGCATGTTGGACATTGAACAGACACGCTTGCCTTTCTTCCTCTCTTTTGCCTTTTCACTTCTCCTCTGCCTTTCTATTCATCTCTGCTCTTTTCATCCACCTCCACAACTTTTTATTCACAAACTTTCCTTTATCATCTCCTCCCTCTCTTCTTCACTCAGAGCCAGTGGACAATTTCAAACTGACCTCTTCCTCTTATTTGGTCTTCACATAACGCTTCATGCACTGCATTCCACTTCTTTCCTGTCCTGTTCGATTGAACCTTATCTGCTCCCACACTGGTTACATATGTTGCAAAATGTCAGTCCTGTGTGTGAGTGTGTGTTGCTTGACTTACACTCTGCTCCGGTTGCTGTTGAGGACACATGGGCCCCAGGCTCTCCACTGCCAGCTGAAGGTGGGAGCAGGGAGACCGTAGGCAGTGCATGTTAGAGTCTGGCTGCTGCCACTGGGGTAAGGACTGGAGGGATCTGCCACTTCCTTCTCATGGATTTGTGGGGGAACTGGGGAAGAGGAGAGCAAATCAAACCATCCATCCAGTGACATAGTATAATATTTAGGGTGACAGACCTGGGTGAGAGACAGCAGTGCTCTATTCATGTAAGACTGGACTGTTGAACCCATGTCCTGAACATGTCCTGAAGTAACCAGCTAAAAGAGTTTTAAAATTGAATGAAGTTAGAACCCAATATTTACTTTTGTTTTTAAATAAACTACACATTTATTTTTAGAATCTGAAAGTTCACTTTTCCTCTTCTATGATCAATTGTATTAGCAACATTATGCAAATACAGTTACAAAATAGAAATCCGCCTTTCCTTTCTTTTCAAGTCTTACATAAAATTCTACCTCGATACACTAAAATAACGCACAAACACTAAAAGTGTGGAAACTAGGCTTATATATATATATATATATATACTGTATATATATATATATATATATATATATCATATGATCAAGTGTTTGTTTGCATTTTCATGCCTGACAGCTGTGCGATTTTTATATTTCTACGTGTATCTTTTGTTCATCAATGCTACATCTTTATGCTGCCTATATTATGAACATTCTTATCCTTTTTCCCCAAAAAACCAAACCACACATTCGGTTTCATGAAGGGAGCAATATACTAACAGATTTCTCTTAACAGAAAATAAAAAATAATTTAAAGGTCCAATGTCATGCTTTTCCGGTTATTACCCGTCCCCTTGTGTGTTATGAAGGTTTTTATGCATGTAAATGGTCTGCAGAGTCAAAACCCTCAAAGTACACCCTGTAACGAGTAAAACTCTAACACAGAAAATACCTCCCCAAAACGCCTCTTGGAGATACGTCACGTCACTGTCCATTGATTCTTCCGGGTACCGCATGATGTCATGCGTTACCCGGAACCAAATGGACCAATCCGTGGAGCCGTTACGTTACGTCCACGGAGCCGTTACGTTAAGCCCCCGCTGATTGGTCTAAATTGACCAATCCACGGACTACCTCACACACACACTCAGTGCAGGCAGCTCTGTTGATCTCTCCTCCCTGGCTGCAGGCTGATAACAGACAGTTGGGATCGCGGCGAAAAACTCTCTGCAGACCCATTCTCACAGCGTTTATCAACCTTTTTCTTACTCAATATCAAGCCACACTTATTGTTTTTACTTCGGCTGTGACTTTGTGTGTGCTCAGGGTGAGTTTGGCTGTGTTTCGCTGTGTATCGCTAAACAAGGAAACCACACCTCCACGGAGCTCAGCGCGATTCACAACGTCCCAACCAATCAGAGCACACTGTGCTCACAGGGAGGGTAGGGGCTGGAGCTATTGGAGCTACAACGAGCCCTTAAAGGCAGAGAGTGAATTTCAGTGAATACACATAGTTTACAGAGATGCTGTATGAGAAACACAAGTGACTTTGGAAAAAAGCACAATATAAATCTATTCTAGTAGACCTCAACAATGGAATTATGATCAGTGGAAATGGNAAAACTACAATTCCCAGTAGAGATGTGCCATAGAACATGTTGCGAAACACAATTAGCCAGCATTTGTAGTTCTAGGGGGGGGGGGGCTGGGGGTGAACTCGTTCGAGTCCAGTTTTGGATAGTCTGCCGTGGTTTCGTTCCATTTCAAAGAGCTGTTTGAAGCTCGGCGTAACCTTGGCGCACTGCCACTCCAATATCCATTCAATTACATACATTAACTGATTAAATAATCAAAATAATAAATCAACGTTTTGGCTCCTACACCCAGAGCTTGAAGATTAATCAGTTGTTTTTCAAGCAAAGGGACTGTAGTCCCAAACGATAGCTGAGGATTATGGGTAGTGTAGTGTCTTCGGCCATCCTAAAGTCCGAAATGTTTTTCGGATTTCATATCGCATTAACACCATATCCCAATGTGCATTGCGGCTAAAACATCCAATCACCAAGCTTAAACCATAGCTGAGGATCTTGGGTAATCAGTTCAGAGGGTGTGTATCGCAATGATGCTCAACATTTCCCATAGGTCTACATCTGTTTCCGGTTATTTTATTTTGAAATTCAGTTCCTGACAGACGCCAAAAAAGCCTGAGATTATAGATAAATAAAAACAAGGATAATTGTGTGTTATTGTTGAGTAAATAACAGTGTGTTATTTAGAAAAGAATAACAAATTAGAAGGAAAAAAAGATTTAAAAGAAATACATATTTCATTATTCTGAGGCTCTGAGCCCCATTTCTTTTCCTCACGGACGGCAAAAAAAGTCTGACATTATACGATTTAAAATAAAAACAATAATGGTGGCTTGATATTGAGTAAGAAAATGTTTTTATGAACCACACAGCTTCCGGTCTTCCAAGACCCGACCGGACAAAAAGACGTGCTGCAGGCACGAAACACACTACCAATAGAAATACATTGCTTTTAAAATCGTTCTGTGTGACATGAAAAAAAAAGGGGAAAATCGTGTTGGTGAACACGAAATCAATAGATTAAATGTCGTGACTATAACACAAAATGCCGTGAGACTGGGTTGCACAGCAAGGTGTGTGAAAATATATTCCTAGAAAATTCTCAAACCTCTCCTTATGTTTTTAACAGTTCATAGGTAAAGCAATAAAGTGAAGATTCTGAATGTTTGAATAGCAGAGGATAGATTTGAGATCTTTTTTGTGGGCTTTTCTAAACTAAAGCTTGAGAAAGATTATTAGTGGAGAATTCTTTGTGCTTTAGACACAGATTGTATATGAGTGAATGTCTCTTCTTTCAGAAAAGCCATTCATCAGCCTCAATTACAGAAATGGAGCAGTGGTGGAGGTTACAGCTGGCCAGAAGTTATTTAAACTACAAGTAAATGTATCTGCCTTCCCACCACCCGAAACGCAATGGTAAGACAACACTCTGGTGTATTCATTGAATGTAATGGGCTTTTTCCAATAGCATAATCAGGCTTCATGCTGCTTAGGTTTACAGATGTATCTAAAGGCAGAGCACCTCAGCTGGCTTGTATTCTGCAGTGTAGCAGCTGTGCCTTGTGTCCAGGTATAAAGATGGAAAGCCGATAAACCAACGACCAGAGTTCAAGATGAAAAGGATGAGGATACACCTTAACCACGCTCTGGAGATTAAGGATGTTTGTCAGGAGGATTCTGGGCTCTACACTGTGGTGTTGAGAAACAGTGCCGCTGCGCTGGAGAGTAGGCTCAACATCACGCTTGTCGTCAACGGTAACTATTCTGTTGGAGATCACGCCAGATGCTATGTGTACAAAACAGTTCATGCTACAAAACTCAAGAGATGTACAAGTTTACCAAGCATGGATCATGGTATTTTATATAAACATTTGTAATAGGAATCAAGGCCTCATGCAGAAACATTATTTTTCTCTTAAAGGTCCCATTTCATGGCCATTTCCACTGATCATAATTCCATTGTTGAGGTCTACTAGAATAGATTTATATTGTGCTTTTTTCCAAAGTCACTTGTGTTNTTTAAGCGAGGTTTCCTTAGGCGCATTCACACCGCAGTACTTTTCCCACAAAGGTTCATGAGAACTTAGTTCATCAGAACTCTTTAGTTCTGATGAACTAAGTATAGATCGCTTTCACACCGGAATACGTAGTTCATCAGAACTAAAGAGTTCTGATGAACTAAGTTCTCATGAACCTTTGTGGGAAAAGTACTGCGGTGTGAATGCGCCTAAGGAAACCTCGCTTAAAATGGCGGTCAGTGGAGTTGATAATGGATACAGCGGGCGACCTGCAGAAATAAGAAAGCCACAGGCAATTAGGAAGGGTGCCAAAGAAGGCTTACTGCACTCCATTATGTGTGAGTGTGGTCCAAATTAAAATCTAATTTAAGGTAGGCAAGATTTAAAAAAAAAAGTGTGTTTCATTTCTTCAATTTGCGCAACTATTCCATTCCATTAGACATGTAATTTCTGCTCATCAGACACTGGGTGAAATCTGTGCCCCAAAGGAGAGCCTTTTTCACTTAAAGTAATTAGTCCTGGAGAACAGGGATGAGCGAGCATGCATGCATGTGTGCATCTCCGTACCCGTGGAGAAAGATAGGGAGAGAAAAAGAGCATGGGGGAGATTGCAATAAGACACTTATTAGATATTTAGTGATTGAGTTTCGTATTGATTCAACTGTTACTTCTTTTAAATTGGACAACGCAAAACCAATTTAGGATTGATTCAAGATTTCTTCAGTCTGAATATTTTCCCTCGCCCAGACATAGAAAAACAATACATGCTTTCCTCTCTTTTCAGGGTCACACTCTACTCCTATCACCTGCTTTTTATTGTTTGCCATTTTTGCTCTGTTACAGTTGACAGTGACTAAACCTTGCGCTGATGCTGTTGTCAGTGTCCCTGTGGAGACACAGAGATAAAAGGTGTTGGATGGTACAGACAAATGATTGAGACCCTGCTGAGATGAACTGACTGCTGCCTTCTCACTAGCAGAGCTTATTAGACTGACTCACATTGTGGATGACCACGCTCATGCCCATTTACCAGCATTCAGAGGCTATCTGCAGGGCCAACATGGTGGGTGGTGGTGAGCTGATTTGTACTCAAACCTTCAGCCTTCTGACTCTGATTGGAATCATTGTGCTCTGCTCGGTATGAGGGTTCATTGATCAGGCCGTGTGACTCATGATCTGAACGGGAAGAAACAAGTTAAAACGGACTTAGCAGTCATTGCAGGACTAATAGTCTGGCCAATGAAAACAGCACAACGGTAAAGAGGTTAGCTTAAAATAGAAAGATAAGCAAAGCCTATCCATCCAACCTTTAGATTAGCAACCAGAGTGATCCCAAAGAAAGAGGGCAGCGTTGTGGAGCCATAGAAAACAATCCTTATATGCAAATTAGGTTGTGGACATACAGAAACAAGGCACATTTAGATTCAAAGAAACGTGATATATTTTAATTGCAATGTACTATCTTTGTATAATATCTCTGTGGTTTGTTTAGGCTTATTGTACAAAATACTAAAAACTATTTTTTTCCTCATCGTATTGAAACAAACTCCTCTGACCTGGCATTCAGTGCAGCACAAGGAAGGAC